ATCGCGTCCCGGAAGGAATTCCACCGACGGCGCCAGTGAGAACGCCCGCGCAGCGTCATCCCGCCCATATCGGAACACCCTATCATGCGGATCGCGCCCGACACGGAGTTCACCGACGGCACCAGTGAGGGCGCCCGGGCGAGCGTCGCCCCGCCCATGTCGGCGCACCCCCCATGCGGATCGCGTCCGATTGGGAGTTGCGTGAACGGCACCAGGGAGGGCGCCTGCACAGCGTCACCTCGTTGTTTTCGGCAGACCCCTCCTACGGCACCAGTGCGTGCAAAGCGTCACCCAGCCCGTGTCGTCACACGCGTCCCACGAGGAGCTCCACCGAAGGCCCCGGAGATCAGGTTCGCATGCCGCCCCCTGCCCATCTCGGCACACCCATCGCACGGATCGTACCCCAGATGGGGGAGATCAGCGCGCCTCTGTGTGTTTCTTCCGCAACCGACGGGCGAAACACGATGTATCCTTCTTGCGTCTCCACCAGAACACAACAACCAGTAGACCAGTAGACCAGCAGAACGCCAAGTGCACATCACCAGTAGTTACAAGCGGCGCAGAAGAACAGCGCGAATAATATCGCAACGACTAGCATGAAAATCGTCATGATGGAGACCGCATGGAGTCCTGGAGGATTTGGATGAAGCCTACAGCGGTGAAGTGACAAGCGTTAGGGGGCTGAAAGCCAGAGCTGGTATGTACCAGACCGACGGCCGTGTAGACACACGAACAGCAGCGTATCGTCACTGCGCCCTCATTCGCCAGTGCCTTCCGTCCGCACTTCCCGATCTCCATGCCCTCCGCGGCGGGGGGGGCCAGGCGAGAATAGAGGGCCGCGCCCTGCGCTGCACGCAGCTGGGCAGGGCTGGGCCCCCAGCCGGGCTGGTTCTCGATCGTCGGAGGGCCTGTTCTCTCGAGCAGGCGACCGACGACGACGACTACGTCAGGGCTCAAAGAGACGTGGGTCAATGCAAACGGGGGTCAGTCAGAGCGCCAGATCGTGCAGGATCCTGCAGAGTCTGGGGTGCATTGGCTTGGGCTTTGGCGCAGGATCCTGCAGGAGTCTGCAGGATCCTGCAAAGCCTGCCTGACCGGGTCTGGATTAACCCAGCCCAGTAGATCCCCGATTGCAGTGGCCACAGCAAATACGAAATTGGCATGCCAGTGGGTGCCCCGCAGAAGCCTGATATCCCCCAGTGGCCCCGGGGGCTCTGAAGAAGCCCCGGGGCACCGCAGGCAGCGCCCACGGCACTACGGAGAATGTGCCCCGCTGATTCTTAGAGCTCTTGCGATGTTTGAGCTCTCGAGTGTAGTGTATGTACGTATCACTGGCTGGTGAGTATTTCACGAAGTGACCTTCGATGTTGCCAAATAGAATATCCTCTGCTATCCCTTCAAACAGCAATTCGCCGAGGGGCTGAGGGATTCGATTCAAGTTCTCCCACTTTTTCCCTTCTCGATGTCAGGTGCTGATGCTTCCGACCTGCGCCTGGCGCCAGGAGTCGCCAGGACGGGGGGGGCACTTGCCTTCGAGGTCCGGAGCCCCGCTCTCAGCCCTCCTCGGGGGGTCTGCGCGCCACCCACTGTGGGATCACACCTTGCGGCGCGACAGCGAGGCACCTGTGACTTGTCAATCCTCGAGTGCAGTCTGCGTGCTTATCACTTGCTGCTAATTTGTGTACGAGGCGGCCCTCCGTGCTGCCGGTAAAAAAATATATGTTCTCATGGCCTGTCTTCACTCTGTACCGACGGCGACCGCCGACGACGGCGACGAGCGGCTCCTCGCCGAGGAGATGGATGCTGAGGAGGGCGACGACTCGGAGGGCTCGGCTGCGACGGATCCGGCGCCCGCCCGCGCGCGCCCCTGCGTCCCTCTCGGGCCGTTGTCGGCGTCGCAGTCGTCGCGAACTGGTCGTCGACCGTGTTCCTCGGCGGCGTCGTCGTCGGAGGGACGGGAGGCGGGGAAGGGGGAGGTGGAGGATAAGGAGCAGGAGTCAGAGGAGAAGGGGGGAGTCAGAGAAGGAGGAGGAGGAGGAGGAGGGAGGATGGGGAGGGAGGAGGAGGGGAGCAAGGAGGAGTTGGGAGGTGAGGACGAGTGGACCAAGGGAAGGATGCGGACGAGGAGGAGGAGGCGAAGGCGAGGAGCGGCCAGCCCCAGGAGAAGAACGAAGAGGGAGGAGGCGGAGGAGCAGCAACAGGATGAGGAGGAGAGTAATTCCAGGGTGCGTCAGGTGTGCTGCAGCACGCCTCCCCGTCCGGAACCCCTTCCTCCTGAGTCCTTACACGTTTTCTTCTCGATTACAGTCGGGGCCCTGAAGAAGGAACCCTTTTCGTTTGGGAGGGGCTCCGCGTTCCTTAAGTGTTTCACAGCTTGCCTCAGGTTTTCCTTATGTTGTCGATAGGAAGTCGAAGTTTAACTTATGGGAAAAAGGGGCCTCGTTCCTTATTTAGGGTTCCTTAGGTCAACGCCCCGACTGTATTCGGGGTGCTCCCTTGAACGACGGTCGCTCCAGTTGGCCCGCCAGTCAGGCGGGAGCCCCGTTCTGGGAGAGGTGCCGTGCTCCGCCCCACGCTCTGTGGAACTGCGAAGGGGGTGTCCGGCGAGAGCCCCGTCTCGCAAGCTGCACACCGACACGTCCCTGGTCACACAGCCAGACGAGACCTCAAGCGAGCGCCGCATTTGAGAAGTAGCGAAGGGGGTGTCCAGCGAGAGCCTCGCCTCGAAAGCTGCACACCGACACGTCCCTGGTCACAAGGCCGGACGAGACCTCAGGCGAGCGCCTCGGGAGCCTTGAGACGGGGGTCAATGCAAACGGGGGTCAGCCAGGGCGCCAGATCCTGCAGGATTCTGCGAAGACCCCCTCTGGCTGACCCGGGCTAGCGAGCCGCTCGTGGCCGCGAGGCGGCCGCTCGTACTGGCTGACCCGGGTTTGCGAAGACCTGCGTTGCAGTTTTTTTTTCCTGCATCGCAGTTTTTGGTTTCCTGCTGACCCGGGTCTGGATTGACCCGGGTCAGAAGATCCCCGAGCGCCGCATTTGAGAAGTAGCCAGCCTCCACCCGTGCAGTTTTGCACACTTCGGCGCTCTGGGCGCAAGCCTAAAGGACATCTCAAGCGAACATCCCACGTTGAGAAGGAACATCGTCCTCCTTCTCCCCTCCTTCTCCCCTCCTCCTCCTCCTCCTCCTCCTCCTCCTCCTCCTCCTCCTGCTCTCAAGTTTGTTCTGGCTCGAGGGGAGCTTCTCCCCAGGACCAGGACATCCTGGTGCTGTACCAACTTGTGCTAGCTTGACCGCACTGTCTCAGGGTGACAGCTAGGACCAGCTCTCCTCTTTCCGTACGACGCCGCCATGGTGCCTGTGCTGTCGTATCATGCTGGTGCTGACGGGATACTTCCCCTTGGCGTCAAAATGGCAAAGCAGGCAAGTGGACTTGCACATTGTGTGGGCGTCGTTGAGATCGTGCAACGCGGTGGCATTGCAAGCACTGCAAACCTACCAGCACGGAGCCTTCTCATGAGTGGCCGCGCTTGTGGGGCACCTTGTCGACGCAGCCTTCTGGGGGAGAAGGGTCAGGGTTTGCCAATGGTTGTGGCAAAAGGGTTTGGCAAACACAGCGAGGCAGGCTTTCTTGCCCTTCGTGCAGGCCCCCGGTGTGAGATTCGAGTTTAGAGGCCCGCTTGTTGGTAATGAGGGCTGTCTCACTAGACTCCATGAGCTTGAAGGTCATGAGTGAGGGGTCCGTACCATTTTGGCTCAAGACCCGCCTACTGATTCCTCATCACTTCCCAAACGTACTATCTTCCTTTCCCTTTCTCCTACACTTTCTCACCTGTTGTATTGCGATCGCTCTGTTCAGAGCGGCGCTGTCAGTCAGGACTGTGCAGTGCGTCTGCCCGTGGAGGTGGAAAACCAGACATCCCCATCCTCCCCGCTGTCGTCCGCATGGCGACACCGGTTCCAAGATTTCGCTGAATCTGGTTGCAAGGCGTCGTTGGGCACCACGGAGCTGGAGGGTCTCGTCCTTACGCTTCGCCGCCGCGGGGATGAGGATGGAGCGCGTCGCTACGAGCAGAATGTCCAGCACCAGAAGAAGATGCTAGCTCCCGCTGGGGCCCCGCTCCAGCAGATGGTCAACCCTGCCTTCAACGGCCGTCGGAATTTGCAGCAGCGCGCCAACACATGTTGTGCAGTATCCGAACGGATGCAGCTCAACGCCGAGTAGCAACGTGAGACGATTCACGAAGCAAGCGAGGAGAAGCAAAGGCAGGGGCGTTTCATTCCAGTTCGGTCCATCGGGCCCCACGCAGTTGCCAACGACGAGCCAGCCCAGTCTGCTGTCCTGGACGTGGACGATACTCTGTCCAGCGATGCCGCGGACAACTTCATCGGTAGCGAAGCCTTGCAGGATGATCTTGCGTTCACGACCGAGGGGGCGCGTGGAGGCATTTCTTGGGTTCATGGAGATCAGAAAAGCCCCAGCCAGGCAAGCGGTGGTACCTTCGTTCGGAGAGATGAGGAGGAACACGAACGATTTCGGAGCGGAGCAGCAAATTCAATTGGCCAGGCACCGCAGCAAACGTGCCTGCACCGACGCAGCAGCGCTAGCGCCCACAGCTCCCGCAGGCGACGGCGGTGGGGGAGCCCCTGTAGGACCCTTTGCATGCGTCATTGCAACCAGGTGTGTTCGCTCAAAGCTGGTCTGGATGGTCTGACTTGTTTTGCTGATGTGTGTGTGTGTGTGATTGTGGTGGTATGACTGGCTCTGCTTGGTCTGGTAGGTAAATGCAGTGCTCGTATCCCCGACCTCCCTGTTTTGCCGTGCGTTCGATTGAGCCGCGGTCTGGCCGATGTCGAGTGTTCTCGTCAATTCGGCTTGTCTGCTTCATCTGCCCAGGTTGAGTTCAGCTCCGCCTTGTCGGATTCAGGGCTGTGCTCTGTGCACGGCGCCGGCTTGGAGCGGCTCACGCTGGTTTGGCTGGCTTGGCAGGCTCCGGCTGCTGGGTCAGGTTCTGGTGGTCTGGCTGCCGAGGCTGGTCTGGCTGTCTGGCTGAGCAGGTTGGTCTCGTTGGCCTGGCAGTGCGTGCAGCCATGCTCGCCTGGCCTCTGCCCCGGCTGCTGCTGCGGTCCCCGCTGCCTCGGCTGGCCGCTCCGGCCTGCTCTTCGCGGAACTCTACCTCGAACTCTAATTCTAACTTCTAACTCTACCCCCCCCTCCTCCCTCCGCGCCGCCGCCCTCGTCTTCTTTTCTTCCTCTTGCACGCCGGGCTCGCCTCCTGGCTCTGCTTCGCCGCCGACGGAATAAGGAACCATGTTCGGTTCGAAGGTAAATGTTGTTTGTGTTGCTGGCGGTGGCGTTGTTTGTGAGTCTGGTTTGCGCGTGTCGGTGGAAGTAGCTGGCAATCAAGAGAGGAGACATCACCGCCACGAATCTCATGAGAAGGATGAGGGTGAAAATGACAAGTTTCAGGGCGAGCGGAAGGGGGAATTAATGTGGAGTGTAGATGCAGCAGCAGTCGTATTAGTTCTCTTGTCCCTGGTCGAATTTCAGCGGCGGGACGCAATGACATGTCGTTACAGGATCAGCAGTCGCATCATCCTAGAGCGGAAATGAGGCATTCATTGTCGGAGGCGGCTAGTTGTTACAGGCGGCTCAATGTAATGTGCAACAGGAAGCAGAGGATCAGGAGGAGGAGAAGGAGGAGGTGGAGGACGAGGAGAAGAGAGGGTTGGGGAAGGAGGTGGAGGGAAGGAGGGAGGGAGGGAAGGATGACGAGGAGGACGCGATCCCCTGAGGAGCAGAGCGCGCGAACGATATATCCGTATGCATTGGCTCGAAGAAGGCCCGCACTCTCTCCACGCCCTCCCCTCTCGTGGAGGCGAAGGAGGAAGGGGAGGACGACGAGGAGGAACAGGAGGGACAGGAGGAGGAGGAGGGGTAGGAATGTGGCGAAGGAGGTGGGGGAGGGGGGAGCATTAGACAGAGGAAATGGAGGAGGAGGAGGAGGAGGAGGAGGAGGAGGAGGAGCAAGAGGAGGGATGACGGAGCACGATGAGGATCCGACGGTCTCAGGGGATCTTTGGAGTTGTCCAGGCGCCCCTGGTCTGGCCTCCCCTGGTCTCCAAAAGTCCCTGAGGAGGCCTCCAGATGGTTCTGGAGCCGCAGAATCAATGACCAGCACGATCCCGACCGAAACATTCGGCGTTTGTTCCCGAGTCTGGTATTGTGTGTTAGTGTGTTTTTTTTGTGGCCAGCCCGAGCTCGGCGCGCATGTCGCGCTTGATATGGCGCCATGACGTTGCTTTAAACAGTCAACGATGGCATATCTCGGCGCGCACGTCGCGTTTGATTATATTGTAGTGGCCTTCGGCCAGTGCCGCCGATCCGGGGCGCTCCGACTGATGTGATCCTCCTTCGCCCTCGTCCCTCCTCTCTTTGCCCTTCCTTCCCCCTTTCATTCCGCATTTATCGAAGACGCCTACGGCGAATCACCGCCGCCCCCTGCCTTTTTGGAAGCGCCTATGTGGCCGAACGTTGAAGCCAGACCTGCCAAGCTATCTGGCCATGTGTTCCCCGAGTCGGTTCGGAAAGCCTTCGGGGAACACGTGGGCATCTTGAAGGTCATCTTCATCTTAAGGCCATCTTCGGCCGTCTTGGTGGGCTCCTGGCACGTCTGACGCCGTCGGGAGCCGTCTTGGGGGCCTTTCTGGGCCGACTTGGGGCCCTCTTGGGGCGCTTCGGGTCCGTCGTAGAGGCCATCTTGGGCGTCTTGGATGCCTCTTGGCCCATCTTGGGGCCCTCTTGGGGCCGTCTTGGGGGCATCTTGGGCCGTCATGGGGCCATCTT